ATATAGAAATGAAAATTTTTAATAGTAAGGGACATTTGAATTATGTCCTTACAAATAATTTAGGGACCCATCTTTATTCCATAATATAGTTTATTATTGAGATGGGTTCATTTGTGCCACCTCCTGGCAGGCCAGCCCAGTTGAGGGGTGAGAGGATTGGGTGTTGGATTAAGACCTTTGCAAGCCTGTTATTTATGATTTTTTAAAGATCTTTTTGATTGTTTCCATTAGGATGATTGGGCGAGTGTAGTTGAGGTCATGTTGCCAATCTGTTTTCTTGGGGATTGGGTATACCAGGTTGTGTTGCCACTGTGTTGGGATTACAGTTGTATCCAGAATTTTGTTGAAGATGTATGTTATTCTTTGTATGGCTTTTTCTCCCAAGTGTTTGAGTATGTCATAGTTTATTCCTGATCGACCGGGAGCTGAGTTTTTACTTGTTTTGGCAATGGTTTTTCTAATCTCTGATGGTTGTATTTTTTGTAGTACTGCTGTGTACCAGCCTTCTTGTATATTGTCCCTTGGCTTATATTCTTTTTGCTATTCTGTAGGGATTTGTGACATGTTGTGGTGTACTGGTTGATAACTGAAGTGCCTTTTTGCCAGTTCTTTGATTTCTTTTGGTTCAGTAATGATGGTTGTTTTTGGATTTTTGATAACAACTGTGTTCATTTCGATTGTTTTGTGTTCTCGTGATAATATGCTGTTGATCATTTTCTTTTTGGATTTTGAGTATTGATCCATTCTTTTTTGGGTGGCTTCTTTGATTTGGGTGTTGATGTTGCTTTGTAGTTCTTGATTGGTTATCTTCTTCGTTGCTTGCCAGAGGTCTTTTACTTCTTCCAGCCATCTTGTTTTTTGGTTGACGCTTTCCTGGAAGGGGAAGTTTGTTATGGGTATGTTTTGTTTTTGTAGGGATTTTGTCATATTGTTGATTTTTTTTAACCATTGTGTTTGACTTTCTCTTTCTTTTGATGTATGTATTGGCTAGATGTATGAGTTTCCCAAGGTTGTAAACTGAGCCAATGTTTCGATTGGGGTTGTGTGATTGTGAGTGGTTTTTTGTTTGCTTGTGTATGCGGATCTTTTTTGGGTTGGCTTTCTTAATGTGCCTCTTTGCTGTTGTACAGATACTGTTCCAGGTGATGTTCCAGAGTCTCTCTACTGACATATGGGTAATGTGTAAATCTTCTTGCAGTTCTATTTCCTTGTCCAAATTCTCTTGAAATAGCTTCCATTGCTTTGCTTTTGTCGCTTTAGTGTTAAATGCATTTGTTTTGAGAGTTGTGTTATGTGGTATTATTTGGTCATCTCCTATGGGTGTGTATATTGTGCATGTAATGATGTTGTGGTTGCTATTGGAGATGAACTCTGATGGTATAATATGTGCCTCCAGGTCATGTTTTGCAATTGGCTTTTGAGTGATGGAGTTTGTCAAGTTTTGGGTTTGCCAATCCATTAAAGTCTTCCAGTGTAATGGTGAGGAAATCTTTGTTGTTTTTTTCCCAAATTTTTTGGTTTGTCCAGCTTAAAAATTGTTTGCGATTGCTGCTGAGAGATGCTGGAACATATATTCCAATGATACTGACTTTGTTGTTGTTTTTATAGTATAGGTCTATGCAGATACCTCTTCCTGGAAATTTGTCTACACCACCTATGTGTTGTGTGATTTCTGTTTTGAGCATGATAATGATTCCTGACCCTTTGTTTTCTTCTGATGCAAAGCTTTGGTAGCCTGAAACCTTCCAATGCTTGTTGGAGTCATTTGTGATTTGTGTTTCTGTAATCATGGCTATATCCACCTTGTTGTCTGTGCAATATTTTTGCCATAGTGCTTTTTTGAGGGGGTTGTTGAATCCTCTTGTGTTGTGTGTTACTATGTGCCATTTGTACTGTGTGTTGGTTGGTGGTTGTTCAAGTGAATCTGTTGTGTTGTTGTTGATATTCTCTAATATTGCTGGTGCTGTCATTTGGTTTCTTGTGTTTTGTGTGGTTTGGTGTTGTTTAGTTGATTTTCTTTCTGTATTATTATTGTATCTTCTTGTGATGTTTCTGAGTCTGACCATGAAAAGGTGTTGTTGAGTTGTTCATCTGTGATTAAGTTTAGTGTTGTGGTGTTCATGTCATTGCTTGAACTGTTTTCTTGGGCTGAAGAGATATCACTGGTTGTATTCCCATCTGATCTGTGTGATTGGGTTGGGATTCTCGTGAAGGTGTCCATTGTTGCTACGATCTGATTCATACTGTTTTGCATCCCATCCAGAGAGGCAAACAGTTGTGTTTGATGACTTCTGATGTCATTAATGTTGTTTTCTTGTTGGTTGTTTCACTCTTTTCTTCATTGATCTGTTCGCTTTCCATAGATTCATAATATTCTTCATTGTGGAACTCAAGATTTGTGATACGTTTATCTAGTTCTGTGATTTTTTCCTTTACCTCTCCTAGGTCTTTTTGGATTTGTCATAGGAGGTTTGCGATTTCTGTTAGGGATTGTGGGTTTTCTTCTCTTTTTTGTGTTTGAGTTTTGACTGCAGTTGCATAGGATCCTGCTCTGCTTTGCCCCTCTGATCTTGATCTGTTGACATTGCGAATTGTGCCTGTTTTGGAGGGTCTGAATTTGTTATATAGTGTTCCAAATTTGGATGCTTGTTCTTGTTGATATTTCTGCCATTGTTGGTGACAAAGCTTGATTGGACAATCTTTGGCAATGTGATTCTCAGAGTTACAGATTGCACAGAGCTTGGTTACAATTGGTGTGAAGATAAGTTCTGTTTCTCCAAGGGTATATGTTTCTTGTACTGCTTCCAAAAGGTCTTCTTGTGTTGTGAAGCTTATGACTACAAATCTTCTAGATTTGTATGCTGTTGTTGCTGCTCTGGGATATAACATGTTTGTCCTTTGCATTGTGTAAGTATATTCTTGAGGTCCCATGCTGATGTGTTTGGGGGTAGGTTGATTAGCTTGGCTGCAATCTCATGTCTTGCCCTCATTTGGTCTAGTGACCATTCTGCGTCATTGATTCCCATAATTAGGATGCTCCTTTGGTTGATTAGTTTGTTTTTGACTGATTTGTCTGTAAAGGTTATTGTGGCACATTGCCATAGGTTCTGGGTACTCATAGTGATTCCTTGGATTTCTCCATATTTGGAAAACACCTGTTTCACTTCAATGAGTTTTGTGTTCAAGGGGATGTCCCACAC